TTTAAACTTTTAAACTATTTTTCTTTTAACTCCCCCCCCCCCATTTTTGCGAATGATGGTTTGTTTCTCTCTTCAGACTCATTGAAAACTTACCCTCTCATGCTTCTTCAAAATTTTTTAGTCACATCAGTCACCTGTTGGGCAACATCTGGACTTCAGGCTAGACATCAGCCACTCAACATGAACTTCTTCCCTTCCAGCTACAGGAGTATCTACCAAGTAAAACAGCAAAAAATGCCTCCGATGTGAATTAGTCTGCAGAGGAGGCCATGGCACATTTTACTACTGTCCTATGCAAACATTTACTCATATAGGAACAGCGGAAGCTTGGGTGTCGAAGGCCAAGTTCCAATTAAAAGAGCTGATAGAGACTATAGTCTTCAGAGATACGCATAAAATCTTGCAGTCAGTGTGAAACAGGAAAACAAGCGTGGATGAGAGTTGAGTCTACTATGGTAAAGCCCCACCTACTCAACAGCCTGCTCTCCATGTTGCTGTCAAAGGCGTGGCATGGAGGAAGGCGATGCTCTCCCAACCACAGAGGAACAAACCACAAAGCTCTGAAGCCCCAAGACTGGAGGAGATGGAGGACTTGCTTCCTACTCCTCGACCTTTTTAAATTTCTCTAACTCTTTTAAAAAAAGGCTCCATTAATAGCCCTGTGTAACCAGAAGCACTCAGCAGGAGAGCAAGGCAGCTCCTCTTCAAGGAGAGCTCTTCCTATTGGGTTTGACACTGAGTTATGCTCCTGGGTCCATATGCTTTGGGAATCCAAACTGTTTCCACAAAATTATCATGCAACGGCACTTGTCTAGGACACAATTTCTTCAAATTGGTAAGTGTACTGGGCGTAGATAATCACTTCCTAACCACCAGATTAATAGCCTAAGGTAGTTGGAAGCAGTAACACTGCCTGTCCCCTTCACGTTAGGAAAGCGGCCATTGCTGTGACAGCAGCACTTTGAGCATCGATACGCAATGCAGAGGTCAGGTCAGGTCTTTCAGAGAACTTAGGCAGATGACTACGTAGTTGCGACTCTCAGACAAGTTTAGCTATAAGACAGACTGCAAGCAATTTAGCAGCCGAGGCACTCACATGCTCTGGTGCTATATGCCCTGGACACAGAGGAACAAGTGCACCATTATGGAAAGACCTTATGGACTACTTTCAAGGGGCCTCAGTTTGTACTTAGTGCCAGGTAAGCACTGAAGTGCTTACGTGGATTTGAGTCTTCAGTGCCATACTGGGACTGCACTTCAATGCATGAAAGCATAGATATGGTCTCAGGAGTACCTAGTGGCACTGCCTCTATTACAGAAGGAACGCAGAACATGTCTTTGGATGTGAAGGCAATTTCAAGGCAATCAGCTAACATTATAAGTGATTCTCAAGCCAAGGTACACCTGTTCGCAAAAGAAGCAAAAGAAGGAATCTTCACAAATGCCCCAACTCCTCAATTCATTGTTCCAAGGTATTCAACAGGTCATAGGATAGAAAAGCACTCCCCTTCTGCAAACACCACCCACAGCAGTGGGAAATCTGATATCGGAAGGGTGCAGGGAGGATGAGGTCTCTGCCACTGACCAGGTATACCTAGAAAAAGGAAGTCGTACCAGCCAGTACAAGTTGTGTGCCTTTATCCCAAGGAGGTGACAAGCTCTGTTAACCCCAGACTGCTGAAGGAAACTCAGCAGGCCAACAAACTGACAAATAGGGGAGTTCCTGGAAAGTGATGAGCAGGTTGTCTCAAACCGAAGCACTGCACTTCTGTCATTCTCCAGCGCAAGCAGTGAAAGCAGCTCGCTGTCCATAGTCCTGCTCCCTGTAACAGCGCCCTGTTCACAGGCTGGCACACTGCAGTACGTGCTGATGTCAGCATGAACTGGCAGAGAGCGTTTACAAGAAGGCTTTTAGCTCAGAAACAGGGATCAGGAAGACAGAGAGGTACAGACTCAGAGAAGAGGGATACAGCCTCTTTACCAATGACCCTAGTTGCCTACACTTCTGAAATTCATACAGTCTGCTTACAGAAACAGACTCCTGGATCCACAGTTTTATGATGACCATGTGAAGAATACAGTTGTTTAACCAATAATTCTTCCTCCAGTTTTCTCCTATGAGGAGTGCTGGAAAGGAAAATTACAAGTACAGTTTTAGAACTTTCATTGGTATCAGGACATCCAGAACAGGAGAGAAATGCTGCACCCTTTTTAGCCCTTATGATTCATGAGACAGCACATATCCGGCCTCTGATCAGCCCAGGATTGAAGGTAGCCTAGTTTGCAGCACCGATTCTCAGCTTCACTTTCAGGGAAAATTACAGATTTGCATGTGGGTGTTACAGACAGAAACATTTCTCCATCAGGTCGTTTTAAATGAAAACTGGTGGCACTTTTGTTGAGACACTTGGATAATCAGAAAATCTTTTAATTAAGATAACAGGGATGGTAATGATATCTGACTTTTATAATATAGCTGTGTCATCTGATAGCACCATTGTGTATTTGCAACAAACCTTTAAAAAATTATGGCAGTAAATTCTCGTCAATATTCCAGTCTTGAGAAAGTTACTCTCTGGAAAGGTATGTCAAACTCTTATCCCAAAAAGGAAGTAAGTGCTCAGCATACAGAAAAGCCAAATTATCTCAGAAAATCTAGTGGCTTTCTGTAAGGGTCGAATCATAACCCATAAGAAAACTATTTGCTGTGACCTGATTTTTTAAGCCTAATGAAATAGCTAAAGTGAGTACATACGTTTGTAAGTTTTCCAATGTATTTTCTCTTAATTTCTGGCTCTTTAAATAAAGACAGAAATCTATAAATCTATTTAAAATCACAATTTCTAAGGCCAATGGAAACCCTAGACTGTTACTCTCATGATTTGAAAGAACTTTTGTAGGGAAATAAACTTTTAAGTTTGGGTATCACAAATATTTGAACATAATATAAAGTAATTTCAAGTTGAATTCACAAAGCACAATTTTTAATCTCTTATAAAACTTATATTTAAAGTGTCCTAAATTGATTTAGTAAAACTGCTGAAGATTGCCATAATCTTGCAGAATAGGAACTATCAGTCCAGAATTCTAAAGTACCAGTGCAAAAGAAGAGCAGAAGAAAAACAGAAGGGAGGCAAAAAAGGAGGAAAATTTACCCTCCACCCAATATTAACACGAGTAGGGCTGAGAAAATACCATCTCTACCAAGAGAAGTTAATTCTTGCAGTGACTGTAAGATTTATAGTATTCCTGTACAACATCGTCACAGAACCAGTAATCTTCTTCATGGAATAAAAGCTAAACATTTATAGAGAAGTAGCTGTGCTGGAGGACAAGGAACACAAGGATACATGTAGTTTAGAGCCTCGGAGCTTTATTTAATTTTCTTCTGGTAAATAGAAACTGAGGAGGAATCCTTCACTTACATTTCCCCACACTGACTAAAAAAATGCCTTTTCACAAAATATTTTGCATTCCAATCACCCCACCTCCAAAGCTAGGCACACCCCAAGCACAATGAACTGTAACAGAACTGAACTCTCCTGAGATCCAAGCACCACGCTCCCGGACAGCTCCTCGCCAATAACACAACACTAGCAGCTGGGCCTCAGTACTCACCATTGCAATCAAGTCTAGTAGCCCCTTAAAAATTCAGAGTCAAGCACGCATAGGAAGGGACAATATACTAAAAGGCTCTCTCAGTTTCACCACACACAGTGCAAGGGGCCAAAGTTGGGAGCCTGCAGGCGTTTAGTCTCTCCATCGGGCAGAGAAAGCTGTGGAGAAGAGCTGGCACCTGCATCGCTCGAGTGGGTATTTCCGATGCAGCCAAAAGAAACACCCAGATCACGTCACACCTTCAGCGCATCCCCTCCGAGCACAGGTGTACGCAATCCGGCGACAGTGAGGTAAGGATCCTGTGGCAAGGAGGGTCTGGGTGGCATCAGAGGCTCACACTGTTCCAGTCACCTCTCCCACTTCCCCCCCCCCAGAGCGAACAGGCCTGATGGGCAGTCAGAAGAGGAGAAACCCTGATTCTCCTCCACAGGCCACAGCTCCAATCTGTCTATTGTCATCGTTCGAAGCAGGCGATTCAGTAACGTTACGTTTGAAGCCTCCGATTGATGGAGGAGGATAGAAAATGTGGTCACACGCACTGTTTGGCAGGGACGAGGGGGTGAGAGAGAAAAGGTTCAAAAGAGGTTCTGGGGATCTACTTTCCAAACATGGCACCTACCCACACCCAGCGCTCCCCGCACCCCTCTCCGTGCCGCCGTCAGCGAGATAAACCCACTCCCCCGCCGTCCCGCCACCACGCACGCCCGCCCGCCTGCCTCCCAGCTGGAATGAGCAGTGCGACTAATTCCATCTATTTCCTAATTACGAACGCCCTGCTGCCCCACGGCGCGCTGCTTCCCGCCGCTGCCCTCGCTGGAGCAGGCGGCAGGCGGGCCGGGGCCGGCGACACGGCACGGCACGGCACGGGGGGCGCGGGGGGTGTGCCGGGCGGCGGCCGGGGACAGCCGCCCCAGCCCCGCGGCGAGCGGCAGAGGGGGCCGAGCCAGGCGGGGGCAGCACGGCAGCCGCGGAGGCTCCCGCACGGAGGGAAACCCCACCCAGCGGCCCCTCCTGGTAGAGGCGGGGTTTTGGGGACCCCAAAGGAATCCCACCTCGCCCCTCATCCCCATGTCGGGGTTTCCGCCCGCCCTGCGCCGTCGGCTCCCTCGGGGCGGGGAGGGCCGCCGTCCCGCTCTGTCCCGCCGTGCCTGGCTCCTCCGGCGGTGCTACCTCGGGAGGAGCTGCCCGGGGTGGGGGAGGAGGAAGTTAGGGGCCGGGAGCGGAGCGGGACCGGGGCTCCGCGGCGCCAGCCCCGCCGAGCAGGGCGAAGCCGGCCGGCTCCGGGCACCGGCCGGCTCCCGCTGTGGCAGCGCCCGCTCCGCCCGCCGGCGATCGGCGCATGAATGAGTGCCTGAATGAATGAATGACTGGCGTCTGCTTACTTGAGCATGGCCTCTTCTTTTTCTTCCTCCTCTTTCTGCCGGTCCATCACTGCCATGATGATGTTCCTCTCCTCCTCTGTCAGGTGGCTCAGGTCGGGCAGCTCCTGCATCGGCGGGGGCACCGTGGGCGGGCGAGGGCCGCGGGGCCCCACCGAAGAAGACATTTTCTTTCCGCCTCTCCTTTACACCTTCTACCTTTGCACGGCGAACCCAGCCAGCCTCTCCTCCGCCCCCTTCACAGGGTAGTCCTCCGAGCAGCGGCAGCCGGCAGCTCTCTGGCAGCAGCGGAGGAGGCGGAGACCCAGGCTTTCATGGTTGCTTGCATCCACCCCGGCCCGGTGCTGCCGCTGCTCGCTCCCTTTGTTTCCGTGGCTTTGGGGAGCTCAGGGGCTGCCGCGCCGCCGCCCGCAGCCCATCCTCCCGGCGGTGGGCGTGCGGGGCGGGGGTGCGGTGGCGCGGAGGGCTTCGGATCGCCGCCGGCGGGTGCGTGCGGGAGCGGGGGGGCGGTGCGCGCCGCCGGCCGGCCGGGAAGGGCGGGTGCTGCCGCCGCCGCCGAGATGCTCCGCCGCTGCGAGCCTGGCGCTGGAGGAGGGAGGGAGCGAGGCAGGGAGGGGGAGCTCGGTGCCGGTGAGGCGGAGTCCGAGGCGCGGCGCCGCTGCCCCTGTCCGCGCCGGGCACCCGGGCCGGCCGCGCCTGTCCCCGCCGCCCCCCCCCCCGGGCTCGTCCCGCGGCCGCACGGGCGCGGCGTGGGCCCCGGCACCGCCATCCTCCTCACGTTCTCGAGGCTTCCTCACCGCAGGTGCTTGCCTGGGTTCCCGCCAGGGCTGCCGGCTCGCCCGAGGCAGAGCCACCCGTGGGAGGGTGCGGGCTTGCTGCGGAGCTGCCAGAGGCGCCGCGAAGCCTTGGGCTGCTCCCTCGGGCGTGAGCCGTGCTCGCCCCAGCTGCAGCCCCCTTGCCATAAGCCAGCTCTCTCACCGCTCAACCACCCCTTCCTGAGGGTCCCACTCTTCAGCACTTTCCTTCATATGCTTCTTACACCGCATTAGTGGTACCCAGTGCCGTGGTGCCCACACATCTCCCACAGGGGTGGCGAGTGCTCTTATCTATCAGACCCTTTCTTTAACTGTTGTGACCCACCAAAACTGGCCACGAAACATGTCACATTGCTAACTGCTCAACCGAGGGGATAGCACACAATGAAACAAAATGTCATGTCCAGACACAGATCGCTTTCATATCAATTTCTGATCTACCAGCTCTGAGCAACTTCAGTTTGGGGAGCCAGTAATGCATGTGACTGTCCTTCTCTACAGGAGATAATCTGCATGTAATCCACTGGCCAGGAGCTCATGCCTACAGCTCTGAAGTGTCCCCTGCTCACAATTGTGCCTATCAGTGAACGAAATCATTCAGACTACTTAGAAATGCAAAGCTAAAATACAGAGAAAACTACACTTTCAAAAAAAAGGTGAACTACCACTAGCACACACTGACACGACCTCTGTCACACTTCTGCTGAGGTCGTAGCATGGAAAGAGCTCTGGTTTCTAAAGAGATCATCTGATGGGCGCAACCCAAAGGGGAAAAAGTCTATGCTGGCAGTATTCAATGCTTCTCGCTGCCAAATTTGCCACGTTTGAAACAGGGAGAAGGACCAGCTTTCAGCCAGCCACACTAATACCTCTCACACAAATTCTGAGAACCGTGAACCTTCATGACCCTTTGAATTTGAGAGGAATTACTGTGGCCATCTGCCTGTGTTGCCCCAAGAGATTTTCTGCAGGGCACAACTTGATAATACAAATTAAAAAGAAAAAAAAACATAATAAGCACTACTGTTACCACCAGAACTTCTGCATGGTAATGTTCGAGTTCAGCTCAGAAGCTGAAGTCTCCCAACTCTTCCAGCACATGACAGAAACAAAAACTTGAATGACCAACAGATGGCTCAGAAGAGATTAAAGTGGTGTTAATAAGCAAAGTACTATGAAAGGCTGGTAAATATAATAATGTCACACTCAGTTAAAGACACAACCACTCCTCTAACTCATGAGGTGATTTGTCCCAGGGCCTGGCCACATTATTACCGCTAGATGTAATCCTTCTAGCTAAGTATTAACAAATCAATAAAATCACTTCCCGCCATCTGTGACCAAAAGGGAAGATAGCCTTCGTGTAACAGTCTGGTACTAAAGAATTTATCCATTCTTTACCAAGAAGGTAAAGCAGGCAACTGCTTCAAAACTGAAGAAAGCAGGACTGAAAAAAATAAGATGATGAGAAGAAGGTGAGGTACCACCATATGTTTAGTATCAGAAACAACTAAAACATTACATGATTGGAATGTTAATACTAGACACCATGATCATGTTGTTACAGCTATTTATAGGTAGTCCACAATCAATCCTTCAGATAATTTGGGTGGGCCTGCATATGCCAAGTAAAAGATGTAGCTCAAGTAACTGCAAGTATTAATTCATTAGAGCAGTGACCTTAGTATTCAAGAGTTGCAGATTTAAGCCCAAACTAAACAAAATATAAAAGGTCTAAGACCATAAGGTCCAAGTGTCTCTAAGATAATTTGATGAAGAAAATATGACATGAGGTTAAGTTACCTACTCACCTTTCTGCTTATTATTTACTGACAGTCATTTATATCTGTTCTGTATTTGTGTTACTTGCTTTATACTGGGTCAAGCATGTGCATTCTTACTGCTCTATGTAAAATACAAAATTAATACAAAGACCATAAGATTTTACATATAGCTTCTTATAACTTTTATATACAGTTTCTTATAACTTAAAGGGAATGCTGAAAGCTCTGGTAGAATAAGGATGAAGAAAAATGATGGAAGTTGGAGTGTGGACTGGTGCTAAGCCAATACTGTGACTCAAATTGTGTTGCTAAAAAACACATAATCACAGAATCATTCAGGTTGGAAGGCACCCCTGGAGGACATCTGGTCCAGCCTCCCTGGTCAAGCAGGGTCAGCTACAGCAGGCTGCTCAGGACTGCATCCAGATGGCTTTGAGTCTCTCCAAAGGATGGGGACTCCACAGCCTGGCAACCTATGCCAGTGCTCAGTCACCTGCACAATAGAGAAGGGTTTTCTCATGTTCAGAAAAGACCCCTCATATTTCAGGTTCTGCCCATTGCCTCTTGCTCTATCACTAGGCACCACTGAAAAGAGCCTGACTCAGTCTTGCTTACACCCTCCCATCAGATATTTATTCACACCTATAAGATCTGTCTGAGGCTTCTCTTCTCTAGGCTAACTAGTTCCATCTTTCAGCCTTTCCTCATATGACATGCTCCAATCCCTAAACAATTTTCATTGCCCTTTACTTGACCTGCTGTCTATGCCCATGACTTTCTTGTGCTGGGAAGCCACAAACTAGAATTGGCACTCCAGATGTGGCTTCGTCAGTGCTTAATAGATGGGAAGGTTCACCTCTCTCAGGCTTTTTGCAATGCTTTTCCTAATGCCTACGAAGTCTTAGGCACAGCAAATGATTTTACATTATTTTTGTACAAAAACAGTAGAATTTACTAGAGAGAAATAAAGAAGAAACCATAAAAGTAATTTCATTTTTGATAGGGCTACGTGAAAAGACTTAGCTCTTATTGTCATCATTTCCAACCTTTATTGGTCGTTTTCTGATTTGCACACATTTGCTTTGTAAAGATGAAATACCTGACACTGTTGGCCAACCAACGGGTGGAAAGCCCAGTCTAGTTCAATACATTATATCTCAAAGTTAGAATGATACATGAGAGCCTTGAAGAGAATTTCATTGCTTGGTTAGTAAGAATTACCCCTGCTTCGTAACACTGCAAGGTGATACATAAGGCCACACAAAAGAAGAAAAAAACCTCTCCTGATGGCTTCCTGAAAAACCCCAGCACCTCGGGAGACATTCCCAGAAACTTATAAAAGGATTAAGATGAAGAAAGGAGTGATATGGAGATAACACGGCCTTTCCTACTCGGGAAGTGGACCCTTGGGCCTATTTCATCTGTCAATCACCCCGAAATTAGCTTATTGACTACAGCCACTCAAACTGCTTGAAGAAAAAGGTACAAAAAGAGATGGGACTCAAGGAAATATCGGGAAGAAGTTCCATCAACTCTGCAGAGGTAAACGATGGGCTGCCTTTTCTCCCTCCAGCTTCTTGGGACGCCGCAGGGTGAGCAATTGCTTTATACATAGATACTAATTTTAATTTTGCTCCGTAGTACTTTAACATTTTTACTTATTACTTTGTTGTAAGTTGCTTTTGCTTTGTAGTGTATACTTAAGCTTTTTGCTTTACTTATTCTTTGTAAGTTATTTTACTTATTTTTAAGTTAAAAGCTTTTGCTTTAGCTTGTGTCTATGATTTGCACTATTATTATTATTACTACATAGTTTGTGTGATTTTTTTGCAGTTAGACCCTATTCCAAACACAGTGAACCCCATAAATTGTCACAAATTTGCATTAATGAACTGTTAGAGTGAGTCCATTTTTAGGTGCTGACAGTTTCATTGATGGCAAAATAACTCATAGAAGAAACCTGCTGAGGAGTTTTTCTACTGCTGTTAAGTGCAGTTCCTATATATAAAAGGTATCAAATGTCCTGTCCATCTCAGCAAATCTTTTAAGTGAAGGGTCTCATTAGGTGAGATGCTAACAGAACTTTTTGGACATTAAAAGACTTTGATCTTCTGGAGCAGGGACACTGATAGACAAAAAATAAAATAATACAGGTTGGACAGAAAAATCTTCTTTTCTGCCTCTTTTAACATGACAGATATCCAAAATCTTGTCACTGACAGGCATCCTATTAAATCCATTTCTCTGAAGTCCTATCTACAGAAGACTGCTGTGAAATCTAGAAATGGAATATCAATATAGCTATTGCAACATATCAGGTAAATTACTTTCTTAAACTTGAGAAGCCAATCATTATAATGGAATCCATGGCTTTTTCTTCTCAGTTCATAACAACAAGTATTCACGTATGTCCTATGCATGACACATGCATATTTCTTTATCATTGTAGACCTTCCCTCAATCTTAGGAACCTTCCATCTTCCCCATATCTTCCTTTTGGATTGACCAAATGCCGCATTCTGATTTTCTCAATTCCACCAATACTCACTTTTCGCTAGCTGTGAGCAGTCATGATTGTTTGTTTTCTTTCTTGAGGCAAACTGAAAGAAGAAACAAACAATTTAGAGGGTTTTTCCTGTAAGTTCCTTGCCTAGAGGAATGATAGAAGACTGGGAGGAGTTTTCAGTGAGTGGGTTTGCCATTTGAGGGGCAGCCATGAAGGATGAAATATCCTGTAGCATCAAGGGCTCAAAGTAATTTTTCACAATAAGTTAATAGAAGTGGGAGACTGTGACTTCTCCTTCACTCAAGAAGTCGAAGGATTTTAAACATTTCAAGGACAGACCAAATTCAAAATAAAATGTCAACATATAAAGATTTTCAAGAGCCATTTTTGTTTTGGAATCCGACTCATGATTTCTCATTTCTTTAAGTTTGGTGGTACCACAGTATTTTCAGACAGAGAAGAAAGTCTGAGCTAGCTCTGGCTTGAGAAGAAATGGAAACAGTCCTTTTCAAGGCAGACAGAAAGCACTGTCCCAAAGGGATTTCATTTCAGGTAGGGATATCAGGGCCTGTTCTGGACAAGATCTGTGATTACGCATAATTTTATAATGAATGCCTACACCCTGCAGCAACTAACATCTTAAAAATTCTCTAAGGCAGAAATCTTGGTCTTCTCTTAAATGTATTTTATTTTTAAAAAAACCCACCAAAACAAACAAACAAACAAACTCCTATCTCTAAAAAAAACCTGAGGAGTTCCATTGACAGCAAACCTTATGGAACTTGCTTTTGGATGACAGCTTTGGATTTTCTTGTGTCAAATAATGCATCTGAGTTCACAGTTCCACCTGTTTTACTAGGCACACAAATTTGAGTCTCCTCTATCTGGATGCTGATTTTTATAAAACCCACAGGAGTTCAATGTTTTTAAACCTCTCCGTTTTTGTCAGGCTTATTTCAAATTGATCAAGAGATTCATATGTTATTGCTGGAGCACTGACAGAAAAGCAATGCAATTACATAGTTTGGTTTCCTTAAAAAAAATAGACTAGAAACCCTGTCCCACCCCCATAGGTCTCTAATTATTCCTTTTTGCTCTTCTCAGTTTCCTCCTGTTTAGCTGTGAATTTCTGGCATGACAGTTTCCAGAAAATCATCCCATCCTTCAGGTGCAGCTTGCCAAAACTTCACAAACAGGAACTGTCACCTTCCTCCTCCTCGACATGATGCTTCTGTACATGCAGCTTCGAATCATACCCTTTTAGGTGCAACAGTCCATTTGCAAACTCCTATCTGATCTGAATCTGTTATGAGCTGATTCTTATTTCAGTCAGTCTACTTTCCAAATATGTTTGTTAAATAATTATTTTTTAAATCAGAAATACTAACAAGGTTTTAAGTTCAACATCATTTTCAAAATACTAAGATCAGTTTCCATTTTTTCCCCTTTAACTAGAAGAAAGGGTGAAAGTGAGGTAACTGATACCACCCTCCATCCTGAAAATCATCATCTACTTTTTGGTTCTCTTCTGGACCTCTTGTGTAAGCTGATAGTGCAGACAAATTCAATCCCATTTAGTTCGGGGGAACTCTGATTAGGCCATTGCACAGAAAGACCCTAAGTTTGCAATGTATTTTTTACATCTGTCAGAAAGGCTGAGAAGTGTTATGCCTCAGACGGAAGAAACGGAAGCTCAATACTTTTAGTCAGCAATCTGGAAGTTGGAAAAGTTGGAAAATTACTCCCGTTGAGCATTGAAGTAACACAATGTTTTCTATAATTGTGAACCATATATTTTTGGAATAAGAATTTTATTGTTGCTCTAGTGGTTTTGGCGAACATTATACATTATTATATATTATTATATATTACTATATAATTAGTGAAGTTGCCTATAAATATAATCAATATATACTTTTCATTATAATAAATAAAGTTGTTGGGTTTTTTTTAAGTCTATTTGCTGCCATTTGAAGTATCTTCACATTATTTTTGCTCCAAAAGAAAATCTTTAATAAAATCTTGAATGTTTTATGCTATGACAGTAGTAGATAGTGCAGTAAGAGTAAGATCTAAATGACCTAATCATCAAATAAAAAAAGTGCTAAAGTACACTAAGGGTTCTTGCTGTATATGTAGTCAGAAGCCCTCCAAAACCTGCCAGCAGCCCAGAAATACTATTGTCAAGAGAATATAAGAATCTCCTGGAGTTTTATCAAGCCTAATTGGCAGTAAACATCTGATTCCCTAGACAGGAGGTAAGAGGATTGCAGTGAGGGGAGAACGGTATCATTTTACAGAGCTGTTTATACAGTGAAGGATGTACTATGGCAAGTTTTGCTTTACAATCTACTGCAGCCTTATCATAATCTCATCCATTTCTATTCATAAATTGCAAGTTACTTTAAAAGTCAGTGTTATTACTAAAACAGGCACAAGAGTCTTGATGGAACAGTTTGCCTTAAGAAGTAGTGGGGCAAAGTTTATAGGAGAAAGTATCTTTAATTATCTAGTGGATATAACTAAAGAAGATGAACAAACTTTAAGGCACAGAAGCCCTTTTACATTCAAAAAGAAACAGCAGAATTGAAGCTAAACACAGCCTGGGAAAAGTTGCTTTGAACTTTATTATTTTATCAGCTAGATAACATGAGAAAAAGAATGCTTGAAATATGAGAAATAGGAAGGATATTTGTAAGAGAAGTAAAGCATTTGTGGAAAAGAGAAGGAAAGACAGACAGAAAGATAATTATTGCCTGTGAAAGGAGATGTCAGATGAGAAGCAAGAACAACCAGATGTCGTAAAACCAATATGCACACTGAGTTGATGTCTTCAAACAAAATGTAGTTTCATCAAAATGAAAGCATTTGTCAGGAATGTGTCAGTATCTACTGCATTGTTCAACTGAAGAAAAAACGTTTTGTTTCTGTGGTGTAGAATTTCTTAATTTTGATTCATTGTGTTTGAACTTTATATTATAATAAATTCCTGAAAGAACAACCACTGATGAAAAAGATGTGACATATATATTGTATTTAAGAAGTCAAACACTTCAGTATAAGGGGCACAGATGTATTACAGAGAAAGCACTAAAAACGAAGTTGTGAAAATCCCAAAAGAACATTTTGAGGAATATTTGTTTTTCAAATAATTTTGATTCTTGCTGTTCTGATTCAGTACACTGAAAAAGGAAAAAAAAAAATCACATCAGAGGTAATGCTCTTCTCAGCCATTTGTACCATCTTTATAAGTGGGGAAGATGAGGCATGGATTAAGTGACACTAAGTCATCAAGTGAGTCACTGGAAATGAGAAGAAAATTGCAAAGGGTCACTTGCAATTCCTGAGGTCTAACTATTCATTTACATCCCGCGTCCTAGGGTTCTCTTACAGTCAGGCTGAATAATCTACATAGTTACTTCTCTTAACCTTTCTTTAGTTACTGTCATCCGAGTTACAACTAAGACCTGTAGTTCATAATACAGAGTAAACCAGGTAAGCTTAAACAGGCAATCTAAAGTATTTGTTTCAATATTGATCTAGAAACCAGCTGTTTCCTTTTCTCTTTCAAAAAATATTATTTTTGTTACCAAAAAGCTGCAACATAATATGTAATATTCTTACTTATGTGTTAAATATCTCTTTTATATATATATAATCCTCTCTATTTGTTCTGAGTCTTTAGCTACACAGATCACAGATATTTTTATGCATAAGGAAGTAGCAAACTGTGAAGAGGGAGGAAATTCAGAACCATGGTGGCATCTAAATCAGTGTGTCCCAGTCAAAAGCTTTGCCCTGAATAATCTTGTTTCAACATTCAAACAATACCATACAACAGTTTATATAAAGTTCCATGTTTCCTAAATATAAAATTTATGAAGTTTGAAGTGAATAATTCCCTGATGCCTGGAGATTATGATCTGAAAATTACTTCCCATTGGTCTCCAATAGTTATTTTGTTGCCAAATAATTATATTCACAGATTACTTTGCAAGTCACCTTTAAAAACTGAAATGCTGAAAGCAAAGATAAAACTCTACCTAGGTTTTTTTCCACTTCTCCAGGTGTATGAAATTATATACT